GGGGCCTTGGTGTTATCAGCACCGCACTCTCCCGAGTGAGCCACAGGCCGGCCCAGTTTTTATAAATTTTTAAAGCTATTTTTCTTCTAAGGTATTGAAAGTCACGTATTAGAATTAAAAGGCAAAATACAAATATAAGAAATATTTTACATAAATGATTCACGTGGAGCTACCATTAGTTTAAACTTAACAAGACCTCATTAGGCACTTTCGTGAAAATGAAACGCAGGGTGCAGGCCAGCTGGCTGCAGGGTGCAGGCCAGCTCAGACCCGCAAGCCAGAGGTTTGGAGGCAAGGCCTGGGCCACTCTGCCGCTGGCTGGCACCTGTGGTCATCTGGGAGGGTCTTTGGTGCCACCAGCATAGGAACGAGTGTTATTCTCCGAGAACAGGGAGGAGTCCATGAACCTGGCCCCTGCCTGACTCCTCCTGCCCCCGACTGCGACCTTCCCTGTCTGTTCAGTGGACACGGGGCCAGGTGTGGAGGAGACTGGGCCTCGGCGGTGTGGCCAGCTCATGTGCGCAGCCCCACGTGACACCGTGCCCCTGTGGTGGCTGTTGTTCAGGCCTCTGGGACATGCAGCTGTGTTTGGGGGGGAACACAATCTCCTGTGCTTTCCTCCTTCCCAGGTCCTGGGAGCCACCCCCTACACACCTTCCCCCTTCCCACCAGCCATATTTACCTGCTCCCCCCGACACTCCAGCTGCCCAGGGACCCCAGGTGGCACGGCAGGTGAGCCACCCGCAGGACATGCCACCCTCACAAGGGCAGCTGCTGCCTCCTCCTGGTAGCTACCTACCCCAGAGGGTGCCCCTCTGTCCTCCTGGTCTGGACTGGGCCAGCTAGCAAGGTGGGCAAGGCCGGGGGACCAGGCCTCCTGACTCTGCTCTCCAGGGACCTGACCATGGTCCCTCTTGGTCTGTGGCCTGCAGCCCACCTGGGGTGTCCTGGGTCCTTCTGCAGCCCAAGGGAAGGAGGCTGGGGGTGGAGGTAGGACCTACTCCACAGCGTCTCCTCCCCCTATCCTCACCCCACTGTGGCCGGTCAGTGGCTGAGCCCTGGACTTCGAGCTGCCAGGGGCAGAGACGTGTCCACCCTGTGCCCGCAGGGCCTGGTGCACAGAGCCCTTCAGAATTGCTCATCCAAGATAAGACAAACAAAAACCAAAAGTAAAAAAAAAAACAAACAGACAGAACCAGAAGTGCTCATCATATGAATGCCAAGGGGCCCAGAGCCCAGGGCCAAGCAGCGCCTGAGACAGGAGGAGCTCAGGGCCAGTTCCAAGCTCGGCTCTGGCTGGACTGATGCCCAGTCCCCTGACCCTCCAGCCCCAGCCTCCCCCAAATTCTCCTGAAAGGAGGACCACCCCCTTCTTGGTTCCTGAGGAGATGGTGGGGGTGGACGGCTGTGCAGCTAGTCCCCGGGCTGGGCAGTGCGTGCCAGGCTGGCAGGGCCTGTCCTGCGCCCGCAGGTGACTCACCCACACTGCACCAGCTGGCTCGGGGGAGGCTGAAATGGGCAGTGATGAGATACTGGCCTGGGGGAGAGAAGCTGGAGGCCCCCAGACCCCGTCAGGGCCCAGGGTGACGTGCGCTGGGGAGGAGCAGCCCTCCCAGTCACCGGAGCCCACCACACAAGCGGAGAGCCCTAGGCCGGAGGGGTCGGGGAGGGAGGGTCTAAAGGTCTCACCTTTGGACCTGGGCTGCTCTGTGCCCAGGGTGGGTGGGTCCAGTGTGGACGAGGAGTCGGGGTCGGGTCTGACATTTAATGAGAGGCATCGCCCCCACCCCCCAGCCGACTGAGCTCCCGAGTGGCGGGCAGCTTCCGTGGGCCGCGCCCCGCCAGCGGGGTCTTCTC